CCTCCAGCATCCCGGGTCCCTGACCAGCTGCCGTGGACAGAGACTCTCCTGGACAGACTCCTGCAGGCCCTTTTCTCACCTTGGCCTCCTGTGTCCGTCCCTGTCCAACCTGGTTCTAGCAAGAATCCTGCTGAGTCAGTTTCGCCAGAATCCCCGACCCCTGGTATGTGATCAAATTCCTCCTTCCCCAGCTTAGATACCTAAGTCCTTGTGTCCAAATGCCCAGCCTGCCTTGAGCAAGAACCCTGTTAGGCCAGCTCAGTAAGACTCCCCCGTTCTTGGTGTCTCCACCTAGTGGCTTTCCAGCTGCCGACCCCCTCACCCAGCCATCGGCTACGAATCCCCTGCTGCTGCCTTTGCTGTGTTTGGCGGTGAGCTCACTCTCTCTCCTATGGCAATAGTCTTGAATAACGTCTTCTTTATCATTTTAACAAGTGTAGGAATAGTTTTTCTTGAACACAACCAGTGGTGTCCCTGCAAGGACCGATGTCGGCCAGCTGGCACAATCAAGAAAAGAAATTGTGTGTGTTCAGCCCCTGAGATGGGAGCTTGCTGACTGTCACAGCATGACTTGGTCTATCTCAGTGATTCCACGGTGTCCTTGGGGTCTAGGACAGTGCTTGGCACCTGGCAGCCGCTCAATAAGTGAGAATAAATGAAAAACCCCAAAGCTGTCAAAAAGATACAGAAAGAGGCAAAGGTAAAACTAATTTGCTTTACGGCCTCCTTGGTATCCAAGTTGCTAACAATGGATACTGGTGACTGGGGCAGTAATAACTATTGTCACGTGGGTCAGCATGATTTATTTTTATTAATCACCCCTTTTGTTCGCATTCTTAATTACCCAGGCCATCCAGGTGCCTCCTGGACAGACAAAAGGATGACGAGGGTGATGTTGGTGGTGAGTATGACTCTAGTAATGATCACAGGTAACAGTAGCTGATCTTTTCTGACTGCGGGCCGTGCGCTAGTCTGAGCTCTTTACAGAGATTTCGTAATTAGAGTGCACTTTTGTAATTATGAGACAGGTATCATTTTCATCCTCATTTTAGAGATAAGCAATCTGGCCCAGGAAGGTGAAGTAATTTGCCCAGGGGCACACAGCTACTGAGATGTTGGAGCTTGGACGTGAACTCAAGCAGTCTGGCTCGAAAGCCGCATTCTAACCACCCTGTGGCACTGCCTTGGACCCAGTAATGACAGAACATGGTGCATCACACAGGTAACTACTGGACACCCTTTCTAAAAGCCAACCAATGCCATGACGGCAATGTAGGCAGAGCTGTTCAAAACACGGACCCCAAAGTCAGGTTGTCACAACAATAATTACAGTAAATACTAATGGACTGAACACTCCAATTAAAAGAGGTTATCAGAGTGGATAATAAGACCCAACCATATGCTGTTTATAAGAGATGCACTTTAAACATAAGACACAAATAGGTTGAAAATGAATGCATGGGGAAAATACCATAAAATGGAGCATAAGAAGGTAAGAGTCAGGGAGGAGGGCATAGCTCAGTGGTAGAGCACGTGCCTAGCATGCACAAGGTCCTGGGTTGAATCCCCAGTGCCTCCTTTAAGAGAAAATGAGTAAATAAATGAATATATCTAGTTTACCTCCCCCTTCAAAAAATTTTTGAAAAAGAAGGTAAGAGTGACTATATTAATATCAGATAAAATAGACTTAAAGGACAAAAATACAACAGAGAACTTTCATGAAGATAAAAGAACACTCATGAGGGAAAGACTACAATCTTAAATGTGTATGCACCCAATAACAGAGCCCCTAAATACGTAAAGCAAAATCTATAGAACTAAAAGGGGACACAGTTCCACACCGCAGCTGGAAGATTTTCATACCCTTCTCTAGGCAAATGACAGGGGGAAAATTCAGTGAGCCAAAGAAGATCTAAACAAGGCCATCCATCATCTCTACCTAACTGCTGTGTATAAACCACTACACCCAACATCAACAAACGAAGCAGGGTGGGATGGGAGGCTGCCCCTAAGCCAGGGCTGAATCACTCAGTGGACAGACTTAGGGCACTACTACTGCAGAGACACTGACACGGACGAAGGAGAAATCAGGAACAAATTGGCTAGATCCCACAGAAAGCATTAGTACAGCCATCTGGGAACGATCGGAGTCTGATTTTCTTACATTTATTCCACGATTCAGGATTACCTTGTACTGACTTTCTCTCTAGTGACACGGGGTAGGCACCAGCATCTTTGCAGTGCTCCGGCTCTCTCTCTCTCAGTCACACTTTTGTTCATGCAGGTCCCTCCAGGACGGCACTCTGGCCCCTGCCAGCTCTCATAGCCTCTGATTCCAAGAGGGAGCCTCTCCTTTTAGACTCAAGGTCACAGTCAGGAATGGAAGCCAAGATGGCAGGTTCCACCTTCTGTGAAACGCAGAACTGAGAGCTTCATGCCAGGAAACGTCCCTGGAGTGGACTGGAGGGCAAGTTGCGGCACATGACACTGAAATAGACAAGACAGCTCAATTTGAAACAATACTCCAATTTCCCTTAAAACTCTGAGCTGGCCCAGGCCAGCTAACGGCTGTGGGAGGGACCAGCAGGCAGCAGGAGGAGGCTGCGCTGAGCTGTCGAGGACCCACAGGCGATCCCGCGGGGCTGGACGCTGGCACCTTGTTTCCCTTCAAAGAAGGGAGGCTGCTTAGAAGCCCAGCTCTACACGCTGCCTGCGGGGCCTGGCACTTTCCATCCCCCCGAAGGATGGGCTGAAAGACGGTGGACTCAAACTACAGTTTTAAAAAAAATAGAGATGAAAATCACCATTAAAAGTGTACCAATCCAACCACTCAGCCATAAAAAAGAACAAAATAGTACCATCTGCTGTGACGTGGATGGACCTGGAGATCGTCACGCTAAGTGAAGCAAGTTGGAAAGAGAAAGAAAAATACCATGTGACATCACTTACATGTCTTAACCAAAGTCTGTATGTGATTTCTTTCTCCACATCACAACCAGAAGATTTCTATTCTTTTCTTTTTTCAAAAAAAAAAACTAAAAAAAGACACCAATGAACTTATTTACAAAACAGAAACAAACTCACAGACTCTATGATTAAACAAATTAATGGGGAAATTAGAAGTTTGGGATTAACATATACACACTATTATATATAAAATAAACAACAAGGTCCTGCTGTACAACACAGGGAACTGTATCCAGTACCTTGTAACGGCCTCTAATGAAAAAGAATATGAAAAGGAAAAATATATATACGTATATAAAAGGAATATTTTCTGAGTCACTGAGTCACTGTGCTGTACACCAGGAATTAACACAACATTGTAAATCAACTATACTTCAATTAAAATAAACAAAGTGCACAATCCAGCAGAATTTTGTCCACCCACAGCCTTGTGCAACCATCATCATCATTTAGTTACAGAACATTCTTCATCCCCCGGACCCATGAGCCATCGCTCCCCATTCCTCGCTCCCTCCTGCCCCGGGAGGCCACCAGCTTGTGTCTCTGTGTCCTGATTTGCCCATCCAGGACATTTCAGATAAACGGAATCACACCCTACGTGGTCTTTCGTGTCTGGCTTCTCTCACTGAACAGAATGTCAGACTGCAGTTTGAGAAGCGTGAAGCGGCCAAAAAGAAACTTTCGCAGGTAGCAGCCTGGATGCAGAGAAGCACAGACACCCTTTCCTAGTGTCCTTTGCAAGCCTGAGGCCTGTGCGTCCAAGAATCTGGGATGGTGAGGTTTTTGCAAGATCACAGCCTCTCTCCTCCAATCCAATTCTATTTTTTTTTAAATCACATTTTCAGGTGTTAAGAAATACATCTAAAGTGTGGATTTTTAACCAAAAACGTTAAATTTTCACATCAGAGCCACCGACACGGGGTCAGACTTGAAATAGGGTGAAATACTGATGATGGGGGTGAAAAAGGAGATAGGAGGGCAGGCTGCTAACGTGTCAGGGCAGATCTCTCACGTGGAACTGGCTTCTGGTCTCCCTTCCCAGCAGAAAATTAAGGCAGATGACATGCCCCGTTTCTATGGAGACATCTGTGATGCTGTACGCTGCTCCCAGGATCCCTTAGGACAGGGAGCTCTGGGAATTGCTCTTCTCTCGGCCCGTGCTTGGGCCTGCAGGTTCATGCTTGGGGCCGAGTTCCCCACGACACCCAGGTCCGGAGGCCCAGAGGATCAGTCCAAGTCATCATTCAGGTGGCAAACCTTGGCCATTTGGTCCCACGCTCCCAATGTTACCTGTCAGAGCCAGCATGCCAAAGAAGAAAAGTATGGTGCCCAACTTGATGGAGAAGAGCCTGATGGTCCTCCAGAGAGTGGCCAGCCGGGAAGACCAGACCCCGGAACGGAAACTTCACCGCAAGCAGCACGCCATCAGCAGGTCGGCCCAGGCTGTCGGCTGCTGCTGCAGGAGGACGGTACGGGGTCTCGGGAGGAGGGGCGGCCCGGGCACACAGCTCGCGTGGACAGGACCTGCTTCCCCTGTGGATGAAAGGCCTCGAGGGAGGTGGGCCAAGAGAGTGGTCCAAAAATGTCCGAGTGATGATGACGACCGGCAGATCCGGGAGGGCAAAGACAGGAGAGGGTGAGCCCGGGAGCAGAGCCTTCCTTAGGTTCACGCGGGTACCGCGCACTGAGGGAGGCTGGAGGGCCAGCCCCCCCCCCAGGGGCTTCCCAAGTGAACACGCGCCTGGGCTCAGCCGACTGCGTCTTCCAAGGCGGCATCCCCATGGCCCTCGTCGCGTTTGTGGGGGGGGGCAGCCTGATATGGCCAGCACACGCTGCCGGGCCTCGGCGCTCCGCCCGCTGACGGGAGAGCCTCCTCCAGGGTCTTTTGTCCCCTGGCGGCCTCATCTTCCCACCTCCCCAGGGCGATTACAACCACGATGCCAGCCTGGAGGACAGTGGCTTTGCATCTGAAGTGGAGGAGCTTTGGAGAAAGTTTCTCATGCGTCCCAGCTGCCCCCAGTTCAGCAACAGGTCCACGTCCATGACCCACTACGGTAAGAGCCGCCAACGGTGCCCCGCGTGGAGACCGCCTCCCACCCCACCCCGTCGGAGTCGGGGGCCCGCGCTGGGCCCTGGTGCAGGGCAGCCCAAGGGTGGTGGCCGGATGGGACGTGCGCGGTGGCTGCGGCTGCTGCTTCTGAGCCTCGCTCTGCGGAAGCGGGGCCGGAACCGGCAGCTGCGACCAGGGTGGGGGGGCGGAGGGGCTGGACAGCCCTCTTCCTTCCACTGGGCAGATTAGTGTTATTTCCCTCTTGGCCTTCTTGTTTTTCTGTTGTTTCAATCACCAAAGATTCCAAGAGTTGGGGTGGGGGAGGGAGAAGTTTGAAGACCCTGGAAGCTTCAGGAAAGAGGCCCCCGGGACCAAAGGCAGCTTGCTGGGGACCGGGCCCTGTGAGGGGCCTCAGCAGCCCTTGAGCGCAGCCCACGTCGCTCTGACCCTGAAGGAGTGGCTCTGGGAGGGCGGCCGAGGCGCGCAGCGGTCCCCAGGGGAGCGTCAGTCAGGCCAGGTGTCACCCAGCCCCCGGTGCCGGGCCCTGGGCAGTGCCCGTTGCCCCCACACACAGCGTCACCCTCAGCGGCGGTGGAATTGCGGCCGAGGGGCTGTAGACAGCAGCTGGGGGCCTGTTCCTGGGTCCCAAGCCGCAGTCAGGCTCAAGCGGGCGCCCCAGCCGCCTTTCCAGGGTCTAAGCTCCCCTTCCTCAGTGCTGGGGCCTCGGAGAGCAGCCAGCACTCCAGGACCAGGAGAGCGGCAGGTGGCTGGGAAGGACTGAGGGACCACGCAGCATCCCGCGTGCAGGGAGCCTACCCACCGTCACTGGGCACCTGCCACGTCTGCGTCCTGCCAGCTTAGCGGCCCCGGGGCCAGCCCTTGGGTGGAGGGCCGCCTGCAGGACTGCGAGGAGGGAAGGCGGGGTCCGTCCCGCCAGGAGGGGACGCAGAGACCACGCTGGCCCGGTCAGTGTTGGGCGGATGCTCCAGCGGCGATAGGAGGACAGAATCAGGTTTCGATTCCGTCCCGCAGCCCCGTCTTGTGCGTCCGCTGAGGAAGTCACTTTTAACCCTACCCAGTGTTTCCAAAAAACCGAAACACTAGTCCGTGCCCGCAGGCACTGGGAAGGCCTGACGTTCGCCACCAGCAGCTGGCATCTTCCCGTCCTGCAGGCCCAGCCACCACACTCGCTCCGCCGGAGGAGCTGTGCTTCGACTCTGAGCCCCGGACGATGACCGAGGACCTGCTCCCTGGCCAGCAGGGCTTGGACGTGCAGGTGGACGGTGAGGGCAGGGCCTGCCCGGCCCTGTGGTGAGCATGACCCATGGGGTCTTCTCGTTGGCTCCCTAGCCCCCAGGGCCCCTGCCTGCACCTGCTGGGGCCCCTGCTCTCCCCAGAGCTACCCAAATCGTGCTTCACGGAACTCCCTTCCCAGGACTGCCTGCCTGGTGCCGTGTGCTTTACCCACGCCCCTGGGTGCCTCCCCCCTTGAGTAGAGGGAGCCACACCTGCTCCTACAGACAAACTCCTTTGTTAATCCAGAGGTGAGACCCTCACCCGGATGTCTACTTTGCTTGAATTTGGGGAAACCCCTCGAAAGCGCCAGGGCCCTGCATACGGGGCAGCGTTAGGACAGCCCTGCTTGTCCTGACCCCCAGGCTCTGGGATCTGGAAGGGTGCTTTGACGCCTCCCCGCTTTGCCTCACTGTACACCCTGGGCTGGGCGTGGGGAACAGGAAACGGTGTAAGAACCAGGAGACGCAGAGGACCCAGCTGGGCGGGGGAGGGGGCGGGCCTGGAAACGGAGACATCACGGCAGACGCCAGGGCCGCTCAGTGTGCGGAGTCTGATCCCCCTGCTTCTGGACAGGCCTCCTCCATCCCTTCAGTAAGAGCGCCTGCGAGTTCAGTTCCCTGCAGAAGAGGAGTGCGCCCCGGGTGCCGAGCCCGGCCTCCAGCCGCCCAGCCCTGGCGCAGAGCGACCTGAGGAGGGGGGTGCCCTGGTACGTCGCTGTCATCCACGAGAAGGTACGGCCGAGCGCGGAGCCCGGGAAACAGATCCTGCCTGAGAGGATGCCCGACCCAGGGGCTCCGGTTCTAGCGCCTGGCGGGCTGTGACCTGACCCCCAATCGCCCTCCTGTGGCTTCTATGTTCCTCTTCCCCCCTGGGGAGGCAGTGCAAGCTGGCCTCGAGCTCCCTGACTCTTACACAGCTGCCCACACGTATCAAGACCGTCATCCATCCATCCCTTTTGACTCAGTCACTCCGCTTGGGAGAATGTGTTCTTCAAGACAGTGACAACCCGCCTGATAGGCAAAGACGCACCTACGCATCGGCTCACTGTGGTGTCATCCTTGCTGGCAGACACGGGCCGGTGACCTACCTGCCTTGGCGCTCCCTGTCTGCTTTCGGTGCCAGCGTCACTCTGGCCGCACGACCACCACAACGAAAGTTTCCTCCTCTTCTCTCAAAGAGCTGGCCTGAGGTTGGTGTTACTTCTCGGTCCAGGTCTGAAGAAGCCATCACTGGGCTCTTCTGTGCCTGGGGATTTCTTACAGGGCTGGTTTCTAAAACATAACAAATTCAGTTCCTTTTAAGATGCACAGATTTCCTTTTCCATCTTGTTTCTGCTTTGGTAAACCGTGTTTTTCTAGGAATGTGTCCATTGCAAGCGATTTTTCAAATCGGCCAGCCTAGCCCTGCGCAGAAGAGTCTGCTGGCATCCTTCCAGCGTCAGCAGGCGATGCTGTAGGAAGAGCACTGCCTCGTTCTCGCTCCTGTCCTTGCTCCCTTCTGCCTCCTCTCTTCTTCTCTCCACCAGCCTTGCGAGAGGTGTATCAATGTCACAAGTCTTTCTTTAGAAGCAGCGTCTGGTCTCTTTAGGTTTCTGCTTTAAGCTGGTGAAGCCTTGAGGACAGTTATGGAAGTGAGTCCTGCACGATGCTGGGTGGCTGCCAGGCAGACCGCGGGGACTCGGAAGCCCTGGGAGTGTGTGTGGGCCCACGAGTCTTCATTTTATCTTCATGCACGAAACGGTACCTCTAACTCTTGTGAGAGAGTTCAGTTTAAGAGGCGTGGATGCCCTTGGACCAGGCAATTCCACTTTGGGGAAACAGACTGGGGTTATAAGTAGACAGAGTCACGCAGATCCATGGAAAAGGGTGGTCTCGGCAGGGCTGTTCGGAAAGGCAATTACCCGGCCCGGGACGGGCTGCAGGCTGGCTGCCTCCGGGGCTCTTTCTCTCCCCTCCGCCTTCATCTGATCTGGCGTGGGAAGCACTTGTCCTCTGGAGACCAGAGAGCCGCCTGCGGCCACAAGCTTGCATGGTGCAAAGTCAGCAGCCCCCGCAGAGATGGGCGCCGCCTTCCAGGAACCACGTCTGGCTGGGACACGCACGTGCACACGTCTGCAGCACCCCGGCCAGGGCAAGGAAATGGGGTTTCTCCGTGCTGTTTTAACCTAATCGTACAGATATTTCCCAGCTACCCTTCGGATGCCCCAAATGTTCAAATGTTGGTAGTTTGCTGTCCTTCTGTCCCCACCCTGCCCCGTCTCCCTGTGTCACTCATTCTTGCCCTGATTTTCTTCATATTTCCTTCCTGCTATATTCTTTGTTTCTTTTTTTTTAATTTTTGTTTTTTTGGGGGAGGTAATAAGGTTTTATTTCTTTCTTTATTTAAAGTTTTTAAATAGAGGTACTGGGGATGGAACCCAGGACCTCGTGCACGCCAGGCACACACTCTCCCACTGAGCTGCCCCCTCCCCTCCCACCCCGCTACGTTCTTCAAGTCAAATTTCCAGTTCTTTTTCTGAATTCTCAAGATGGGTACTTAGATCACTGATTCTCCGCTGTTTCCCCTAATCAGCGCATCTGAAGGCTGTGAAAGGCCTTAACCCCAGCTGCCGCTTTGCCCCACGGCTTGACACGCCCGGGGCCTGTCACCATTCAGTGTGAAACATCTTCTAACTTCCTTTGTGGCTTCTTCTTTGACGCATGGGCTCTGTGGGAAGCTCCCGCTTCAATTTCCAGACACCTGGACGACTTGCTAGCTATTTTCTCCGCCCAGAACTCAGTCTGGGACCTTCTCCCTCCTGCCTGCCACCTTTCGCGCTCCTCTACGTCCGTTTAGACCTGCTGGTGACAAACTCCTTCAGCTTCCGTTTGTCCAAAAACACCTTGATTTTGTCTTCAATTTCGAGTACTTAAGGGCGTGGAGAGTTTGACAGTGGGAGGTTGAGGGGCAGGGGGCCCACCCCGGGGAGGGGCTCCTCGGAGGGCGGTCCCGTGTAGGTATCCTCCCTCATGCCGGGGGAGGGGCTGACAAGGAGCCAGGCCTGGAGGGGAGGCTGCCGGGAGCCCCTGGGCTGCCCTTCAGCGGGAGGTGTCCTGAGTTAAGAAGCACCCATCTTGGGCTGGGGACTTGGTCCAGGCAGCTGGCCTGCTCTCCTTGGGCCCTGCAGGTGGCTGGGCGGGAGGGGTCTGTGTGGCTTGACGGAGCCCTGTTCCTGTCCAGGATCACTGCCTGCTCACGCTCGGGGAGGAAGTCCGGCGCCTCTCCGAGCTGGAGATGCAGGTTCAGAAGAAAGACCAGGAGATCCTGGCTCTCCAGGAGGAGAGGGAGGCCTTGAAGAGGCAGCTGAGATCCCTCCTGAAGGGCACGGGCCAGGAGGCCTTGCTCAGCCAGGGCACCAGGGTGAGCAGACAGCTGGCCTCCGGGGTACGCCCTCAGGCCCCTGTCAACCCCTATCGTCCCGGAAGGTGGTCGGGTCCTTGCCGGAGCTCAGTCTGGGTCTCTGGGCCCTGAGCAATGGGCCAGACTCCAGAGGACAGTAGAAGGGAGAACGGTTCGGAGACAGAAGTGAGCTGGACCCCAGCCGCTGCTCCTGGCTGCCGGCTTGTGTCCCAGGGGCAGGCGTTCCCTCACCTGAAAGATGAGGGCCAGCTCCTCGGAAAGGCCCCAGAAGGTGGGGTCCCGAGACCTGGCCCAGCCATGGGCTCCATGGGCTTGGACTGACCTGACCTGTTCCGTCTGCAGGATGGTCAGTGTCCTTGCCTTTAAGTGAGGATGGGGGGAGGGGCTGGAGGAGGCAGGAGGGGTGGGGCCCAGGAGTGGCTCTGCTCCACGTGGCCCTAGTCAGCAGGCATCTGGTCTAAGACCCGATTCCTTTCATACCCGAGGATGTGGCCTTAGTTTATGCTGGGTGCACACACAAAATGGGGCGGGGGGGGTGGCTTCAGACCATCACCAAATTCTCTGGATGCCTCCAGAAAAATCTACCCAGATGCCGATGGTGGGGGGCACTGGTGGGCAGGGGTGGCAGGAGTCTGAAGGACCCTGAAAGCATCAACCGAAGTCCCCCGCTCCCTGGCCCCCCCGAGGGCTGTCAGACAGGTGTGAGCGGGACCGCAGGGCTCAGCACCGCCAGGCTGCTCTTGGGGCGCCAAAAATCACACTGCTCCCCAGGGCTGCCGCTGCAGGTCCCTTCCTACCTCGCACCCCACTCCCCAGTCCACCGACACAACACGGCAACCTTGGCAGGACGGTGGATCCCAGATGGAGAGGCCAGGAGGAGGGGTCTGGGCGGCACATCCCCCGGGGACCTGAGGGTGCAGGTTGAGACCCCGAGGCTCACGCGGGCACCTTGCAGAAGCGGCCCTCGGAGTGCGTGTCAAAGCCGCAGAAGAGGCAGAGCACCGTGAAAACCACGGGGGACGAGGGGGAGCTGGAACCCAGGAGGCAGGTGCGGCTGGCCGGGGCCTCCCTCCCAGGCTGCCCCGGCGACGCCCAGGCCATGGTGTCCCTCCTGCAGCCCTAACCCCTCAGCCTGGCTGCACCTGAGGGGAACGGGTGAGGTGGCAGGGTGGCTCCTGGAGAAGCGACCCCAGCTCCTCCCCTAGGGAGGCCGGTCAGCGGCCCAGTGCCCAGAGGTGCCCCTTGGCAGTGCTCTCCTGCAGCAGGCTCCCCCAGACCCGTGGGTGTTCAGACTCCCCTCCACTGGGATGCCCACAGCCCTGCTTAGCATCCCCTTTCCGCTCCCAGATGCAGAAAGAGTTCTCTGTGACCATGACCGACAGAGGCCAGGTCCCAGAAGGAGGCGGCCTCGAGGAGGAAGAGGGCCTGGAAGGGGAGGCTGAGAGGGCTGTGGACAAGGGAGGGAGGGGCAGTGGGAGCAAGAAGGGGACTCTGCAGGAGAAGGGAGGCGAGGAGGAGGAGGAGGTGGAGGAGGAGGAGGTGGAGGAGGAGGAGGAGGAGGAGGAGAAGATGATGGAGGAAGAGGAGTCGGGGGTGGAACTGGAGGAGGAGAAGGAAGTCCAGGAGGACAAGATTGTCGGCAGGAAGAGAGCTGGCTCCCTGGACGACACCTTTGAGGAGGAGCTGATGGCCCAGCTGGAGGAGTATGAGCAGTTGATACAGGAGTTCCAGTTCCAGCTGGAGATCACCCGGACCAGATACTCCCTGGCCACAGGTAGGATGTCAGAGGAGGCCGAGGCGGGACCAGCAGTAAGGATGCCCAGGCACCGCGGGCTCTGCCCGGGGAGCTGGGACCATGGGGCGCGGTGCTGCGCGCCTGGGGTGGGACCCGCAGCCCTCAGCCTGAAGGCGCCCCGGCCCCCTCTTGCTCTCGCCTCTGTCCATGCCCTGCTGCTCACTCAGGTGCCATCAAGTCCCTGCAACAACAAGTGGAGCGCCAGGAGTCCCAGCTGCAGGCGGTCAGCACGGAGAACGAGCTGCTGCAGAAGGAGCTGCGGGCGCGGAAGCACCAGCTGCAGGCCATGTCCGACAAGGTGGCCGTGCCCTC